AAGTCACGTCAGCGACCATGAAGAACTTTCTGCTTCTTTTCCACATTCTACTGAAACTCCACTGTTCATCCACAGAGATGTCAGGTGAAGATGGATGGATGTGGATAGACATGTAGTAGTAAAAGTACCAGCAGAGTAGACATGTTTGTAGTAAAAGTACCAGCAGAGTAGACATGTAGTAGTAAAAGTACCAGCAGAGTAGACATGTTGTAGAATTGATATTTGATCTGCAGTTCAGTTCACTCACACCTGTCTCTCTGTCTCTCACCAGTTTCCTGTCCTGTCAGCCTCGTTGTCCACAGACACAGTGTTGACCTGGCCTTGGCTACAGTGCAGTTAGCTACGGTCTGGGTCATGTCCAAGTCTCAGCACTTCCTGTCCTCATGGAGCCTTAATAAGTTCTTGCTCATCACCCAGGGAGACCTGGCAGTAGGTTTACTCCTTTAACCCCCCAACACCCACCGACCCCTCCACTCCAGGTTAACGCTGTGTACTTGTCTTCTGTCTTTGTCCACTAGGTGCTCAGAGAGTCATCAGAGATGCTGCTCTGTCAGATGAAGTCTGTTGTGATGACATCATCAGACTGTAGCCAGTCCACCTCTCTGAACCACAGTCATCTTCTGCTGAGACAGCAGATTCAAAGACTTGACCAGGCTGTGACTCAGCTGCAGGTACCCGTTCTTCTTCTGCACTTCTGGACCTTTACTGTGTCTGTGCTGGTTCAGAACTAATGACAGTAAATCAGGGCAAGTGGGGGTGGGCAGACCTGTGTGGTCCACCGACTGAGTTACTGCCAGTGTTACTATGAAACTTATAGATTATGATGAATGTTCCTGTGCTGTTGTTCACGTCCCTGTCTCTTCGTCTCAGACCTTCTCTTCTACGGTGCTCAACATGTTCTCCAACCACTGCAAGAGGAAGTCAGGCCAGATCTTTGAGCAGACCATGCCCCCCTCGTCACACTGGAGACCCAGCCGCAGGACAGGTCAGTGTTCACAAAAGTACTGCAGTGCAGCAACACTGACACCTACTGTGTGTAATTCATGTGACGTTAACAGGTTTCCCCAGCAGTAGCAGCGATTATGTGTCTGTGGCAGCTGGGTCTGTGATTGGTCAGGTGTTGGAGTGTGTTGCTCTGTTGTCTGATGATGCTGGTGTTCAGGCTCTGAGTATAACAACCACAGCATTCCTGGAGGCCTGGATGGAGCACATCCTGAGAGAGAAGATCAAATTCAGGTTTGTTCTGATCCAACACACACCGCGCGATCTTATTGAGCCAATCAGAAACTGTCAAAAAGGGGAGCAGTGGGGGGGGGGGAGTACAGTACTGTGCAGAATACATTTTCTCAGGCAGGTTGTTGGGTCTGATTGTAGATGTATCAGTGGGTCATTATGTGGTTCTGTCCTCAGTGTGCAGGGTGCTCTCCAGCTGAAGCAGGACTTTGACACTATCAGAGAAATGATCCAGTCTCATGAGTATGGTCTGTCAGCTGACCTCCTCCAGCAGCTGCTCAGCCTCAGGTACCATGACCTTGAACAGAGTTGATTTATGCAATATTAAATACTGTGTATAGTAGCAGATTTATAAATATTCTGGTCACCACTGACACAGTGACAGTGTCTAATGCCTGTCCTCTGACTGTAGGGTCTTCCAGCAGGTGGACTCTGCAGTGATGTGTCTGCTGCAGCAGCCTCAGTCCAAACCGTACCTGAGCTCCAGAACCTGGCTGCCTTTCATACGCTGCTGTGAGTGTAACACACAAACAAGTAGCTCAGGCAGCAAATGTACCTATGTTGAGTATTTGTGTATCAGCGACAGCAGCACCAGACAAAAACAGAGTGAATCAAAGATGACTGACATGTCATTGGTGTTCAACAGTCAGACTGCTAAAGACAACTGTACTGTTTGGATATTGCACACAACCAAATGTGACCTCTGCTTTTAACTTATCACCAAAGTCAGCAGGGTGCAGCAGTGTGTGGAGACACAGTGCCATGTTCAGCGCTGGCGGACTTGAACTTGAAACCTTATCCACCAAGCCACCACTTTAATTAATTTAAAATCTCAATGTTCTACTCTGGTTGTTTTTGTATGGATTGACCTTGTGTGTGACCTTTGGCATCTGTAGAGAGACTATTCCAAACTCTGTGTGTAACTGTCCAGGCCCAGCTCACAGCAGCACCGACAGCCTCCATGCTGCAGTAGGAAGCAGCATCACCAACCTCAGGTCTGTGGAGGCTCAGGAGTGCGACACTAGAACCGCTGAACTGCAGGGGGGGGGCACTTCAGCTCCAGGAGAACCCTACCTCGCCCCTAGGTACATTTTACCACTGAGGGAGTGGGTCAGAGAGTGGGGAGATGAAGGTGGATGAAGTGAGGCACAGAGGAAAGGGGGCGGGGTTAGGGTTACACACACGCCACAGTAAGAAGGAGCAGGTAATTGTACTGACAGTGAATGGAGGAGGTGATGAGGGAGGAACAGGTATAACGGAACAGGCAGAGTGAGTCTGTCAGTGTAGAAATACACTTATTAGAAAGGATCTGCTGAGTTTTACATACTGTATAAATATGTTACACTCACACACACACACACACATATATAGTTTATATATATGTTAAAAAAATATATATAAATGATATATGTATATATACATATATACATACATATATGTATATATTTACAGTATGTATATATATATATATACAGCCACTGGTATATATATACATTACCAGTAGCTGTTGAAGAATGAACACAGATTCAGATGGAAACAGTCATTGACGTGTGTTGGACAGTTGTGGCCTAGCAAATAAAGCTGTGTGTGTGTGTGTGTGTGTGTGTGTGCGCGTGCGCGCCTGTGTGTGTGTAGTCTCACACTGGATGCTGCTCAGCAGCAGTGGCTGGACCTGAGGATGAGCAGCAGTGATCATCGGTGGAGGATGCAGAGGTTCCGGCGTCTCTTTAATTCAAACCTGAACACACACCCTGCAGAAATGTGAGGACACACACTCACTCACACACTCACTCAGTGGCTGAAGGGGAACTTTTCTGTTGGTATGAATGTAGAATGTACTGAATATTTTTTCTGAAACTAAGATGTACCTCATTTTGAAAAAAAAAAAGGTAAATTATATGTATTTGTTTTTTTATTTGCAAATGAACTTTAATAATTATTTGTACTATATACTTTTTTTAAACATTTCCTCAAAATATATTTTTATTTTTAACAAAGTGATTAATGTCCTATCATTTCAACTCGACTGAAATAAAAAAGTATGACCATCAAGTTAATGCTGTGATTTTACAGTAAAATGAATAAATATTTATATAATTAATTACATCAGTAATAATAACAAAATGGATGAGTTAACTGTTTGTAGAATTTGTAGGAATGGAGGACTGCTTTACACTTGAATTACCTACCTAAATTATTATCCTGTAGTTTGTGCTCAACAGGCTGTCAGAGGAAACAGTGTGTGTGTGTGTGTCTCCAGAGGGAAGATTTATTTCTAGGGAAGTCAGACAACTGCACACAGTGAACATGTAATTTACAACAATGGGCAGGAGCAGCAACCGAGACAATGGAAGCCGACACAGCTGAGAAATACAGAAGTAGTAACGCAATGAAAGGTTGCCAACTGCCGTAAAACATAGTCAGTTTAATAAAATTACAGAAATGGCAACAATCCATGAGGATCAAAGGCAGATAAAACCTAGATTTTAGTGATTTGACACAAACACAGCCTCACAATAGAGGAGGCTGCTGTGAAAAACCATTTGGGATTCAACCCCAGAAATATAAAAGCTGATGTACTGGTGTCAACCACCAGGCCAACAGGCGCCTAATATACTACATAATAGGAAACGAGGTCAAGAAATGTAGTAATACGCTAGAAATACTTCGACAAGAAGTCGTTTACTTCCTTTACACATCCCGAATTTTTGGAGCTTTGCTTCTAGATGCAGTGTGGTAGTTTGACCCTGTGATGGCAGTAATTCGTTTTCTGTGACTATTGAAGTTAGAAAAAAACGAAGAAAACACAACCCGGAACAGTGATACAAGATGGCGGACTGTGAAAACAACAGCGACCACAGTCTGCCGTCCTACTCAGCGGCGGAACCACCTAAGTTATCCGAGTTACTGGATCGTGGCTGGAAGATATTTGAAGATGTGGACAGTACGAACGAACCGCTGGGTTCTAACCACATCCAAGTGCGAGTGAAACGGGGGATCGCGATGTTAGAAGACGCATCCAGAATGGTGGCGCAGCTCGAACTGTTCAGCCGGAACGAAGAGCTGGAGGAGGTGGCTACTACCGACCTAAAGTTTCTCCTCCTGCCCGCTCTGTTGGGAGCATTGTCCATGAAACAGACGAGCAGAGAAAAACGGCTGAATCTAGTTCGAACCGCACGGGCCTATTTTATGGACTTCCTGAAGAGATGTAGGGAGTATAAGGTGTCACACTTCGAGCTGCCGACGTCGGCAGAGGAAGACATAAGTGACTTTTCTGAAAGTAGATCTTCGACGTCAAAGGTAAGCCTTTTTAACGACAGATATTTAAGGCAGGGAACCAGTCTAAAACCGTTTTAGTTTTTCAGGTATAGCGAACCCTTTTCAAACCATACAGCAGACCGCATTGTAGTCTTAATGGACTTCTCCAGTCATTTAAATTAGAATAGTGGTGAAATAAGCTCAAATAAGTTTTTAATGTGTGGTTATATACCACCCCAGGGTATAAAGAGCGAAACTGTGTCCCCGGTGCCTCGGCTACAAGTTCTACATATCTTTATCGTGCGCTGATATAGATTACAGTACAAGTTAAAATAAAACAAACATATAAATTAAAGCTATGCAAAGGTAAGTCGTTGTTATCCAGTTGGCAGACATGTCACCACCGTAGAAAACGGATTTTAACCCAGCAGAAACAGTCTTGATAAAATCACACTGGTTCAACAGGTTATCACATGTTAATTTTGCCTTTTTTTCTTGTTGACGTCCGTAATTTCCCCAAAGGAACTCTATCTATCTGATTGTTTCTAATAAAACAGGTAAAAATACTACACTTACGCCTATTTTTATGTGGACTGTTGTTGTGTTTGTCTTCAGTACAGAAGTCATTCACTTTACATTTCCCTGTTGATTGTTTTGAATGTCTTTGGATCATTCTTAGCCTTTCATGTAGTTGGTACAAACAATAGCTGTTGTAAACCAAATACTAAGATTGACTCATAACTGAGAAACAAACTGTTGTTACTTTTGTACATACGTTGAGAGTAAATAGTATTGTCATAGACTTAAATGTGATGTCTTTATGGTTGCAGTCTGCCCCTCTGCCATCAGATCTGGTTGCCATGGCAGCACAGAGACAAGCTAAGATTGAGAGGTACCGTCAGAAGAAAGAGCTTGAGGCCAAATTGTCAGATGTGCGAAAAGCCATAGAGAGCGGAAAGGCCGATGATGAAGTCAGTCGGGATTTTTACCTTCTGAATATTCGGCGATGGATCTCTTTGTGTTTGGAGGAAATTGAGAGCATCGACCAGGAGATGGAGATACTGAAGAATATGGATGCTCTGAAGGAGGGTGCAGCCAGGCCCTCCCAGCCAGCCAGACCCCCCATGAAACCATTCATCCTCACCAAGAATGCTGTTCAAGTGAGTTTGTGAATGGAGAATTTATTTGCAAAATAAAGTCTAAAAGTGCGCTGAAACTAAGGCTAGTTGATCGTATTGTGTTGAAGCCCAAATACCCCAACTCACCTGTCCCCTGCTGACCCAAACTCACATTAATCTGAAGGATATGCTGAAGCCCTGTTGCCTCCTACATACGTCAGTGACTAGTGTTTATACACAGTTATAGCAGCGCGATAGAGAGTGAATCTGACAACAACAGCTGCAATGACTGGCTTGTTCTTTTTGAACGATCTTCAAAATAATCAGCACACATCAGTGTCCACATTCATTGACTGCATGATGCGGCAATTTGCAGTCAACCGTGCTGTGTGCAAACAAAGACTTTTGCCAAGCAGCAGAAAACACAATAGGTTTTAAAAATTGTATATGGTACTATGACCCACCCTTTCCAACCATGCCGTGCCAGGCCAATACACTTGCACTCACACTAGGCATAGAATCCTGACATTAGGGGCCAAATGTGCTTGGGCACGGTATTGGGTGACCTCCTTTAAACTGACAAAAATCAGGACAAGTAGCAGGTTTGAGTGCGACAATGAGGGACAGCCGCAACCATTCGAAGCTAACTCTTTATTTATTTATTTATTTTTACCAACTAACAGACATGGATCTCGCCTTTTACCTCCACAAACCAACAAAACCTATACCCAAGACATAACCTAAACCTGAAAAGTACACACATGCTGCAGTGTAACATATTTATCGATGCATTATGTGACCCTTGACCTCGGTCTCTCTGGAGATTTGAGGTTTTCTGCAGTCAGTTGACTAATATGAATGTTCATACTGCACTGCATTCATATCACTGGTAACTTCTACTGCAGTCATTTGATCCAACTCAGTGTCATTTGGATGTTTTCTGTTGTGTACTTCCTGTGTGAGACTCACGTGTCGTTTCCCATCAAATTCACGACCATGTTCGACAGAAAAGACGCTGGTTCAGAATCACCACCCACCGGTCTCAGCCAAAAGGTGGCGTCTTCTATTTTTTCAGCATGGCACCTTCATAGTATCAAAACAACTGGGCGCTCTACAATTTCAGGTGCTAAAGTGTGTGCGATTGCTGCAAATTGGCAGTTTGATTGACAGCCTGTCAGTTACCCCCTCTTCCATGAAGTGTCCTATTGTTGGTGTGGACTGCACTGATAGGCTGCCCACAGACGGCCAGGCACAGGAAAGAGTTTATTTTCAATTAAGTAATGAAAAAGTGGGACAAAATCTTCAATTTGTGACAAAGGCTAAAATTACTGTGCAGTACAACGTAGATCAGGACCTAGATCAGGATCAGGTGGTCCCTCTAGCACGGTACCGTGGTTACGCCCCAAGAGTACAGCAATTTAAAACATCAAGTATTTTTGTTTAGTGATGCTTTGATTGGACTTAAATGCTCCTCTCATATTTGGCATGTACCAAGTCATGAAAGTGAGCCACCATGTTTGACAGAATGTTTTTGTTGTTTTTTGCCCACAGGCTCGTGTTTTTGGAGCTGGTTACCCTAGCCTTCCTACCATGACAGTCGATGACTGGTATGAACAGCACCAGAAGCACGGAGCACTGCCTGACCAGGGGATACCCAGGAGGGTTGCCCCTGAGAGCGACACTGATGCCAAGGACAGGGAAGAAGAAGAAAAAGAGGAAAAAGTTGAACAAGACGATGAGGAGTCTTTGATGAAGGCCAGAAACTGGGATGACTGGAAAGACAATCATCGCAGGGGTTACGGAAACCGTCACAACATGGGCTGACTGACCCCTCAAGTGTGTCCGTCCCATCAAACTTCTTCTGTTTTTGTTTTTACTCCAGTCATGCCACGGGGCATCACATAAATGTGATGAGAAGGAAAGATGCAGCTTCATTTGAGCTGTATGTCAATCAGTCCGACTGTGTGCAGGTCAACACTACAGTGAAGGTCCATGTCATGTCATGAGTCATTGGCAGCACAGCGCTCGTTGATGTTGTTTGTTTATTACAGTTGTGTGTTTGGCTGGACTGAATGAAGCGGTGTCATGATGACTGCTAATGTCACTGGACAATAAAGACTTTCAAATCATGTGCACTGACAAATCACAACTGTCTTTTCTTTGACTGTCACACTTTTTACTCAATTTAGTGGTAATGTATTAGGTGGTAGCGGCCGGAGAAGAACCTTTTAAGAAGGTAGGAAAGACACGTGACTGAGCCAAACATCATCACATATATGTATGTATCACACATAAGTGTGAGTCGTAGACACTAACGTTTTTCAAAACAAAATATCGTTCAGCATCAGATAATGAATAAACCAATCAACACTGGCCTAGTGGATAAAGACAATTCTTGTTATCAGGGATCATGGTTTGTGTCGTACACTCCATGTGTATGACCAGTACAACCCCCGTCCTGTGTGAACAATCATCACTGGGGTTTTCACAGTATATGGAGACCAGACTTCAGGAACACTTGTCTTCGATATATGCGGCAATTTTGATTTTAGTTAAGTATTATAAAAACGTTTTATTTTTTTTCCTGTTTACTAACAATGGATAAAGCCGTAAATATTGTTAACACGACCAGAGAATAGTTAAGCTTTTTTAAATAAACGTTTTAATGTGATTATTGTTAGAAACAACAAATATGTAATAGGCCCAGTGACAATGCTTTTACTGCAGCGGCTTTGCCGGAAGTCTCGTGGCACAACGTGGGGGCAACTTGACTAACATTCTGTGTGTGAGCTGCACGGTTGCAGGTGGTAAACTCTGGTGTCCAGTCCAAAGCACGATAAAAGTCGTCCGGACCAGTGTGAGGTAAAGTTCCAGACTCTGTTCGTCCGTCGATGTCGGTTTATGTGAGAGCTGCAAAGGTGAATGGACGCTTAGCTAATGTAGCTAACGCTAACTGAAGTTAAACTTTGGACAACACTGGAGTCTGTGGCAGACTAGTCTTTACAGTAGTGGCTTGTCAGTGGATCGAAATACTTCAAAAAGGCCGTGTTTAATTGTTGTAGTGATATCGTTATTCCTATAGGCCACTTCTTCCACTTGTCCTTAATGTCCTCGTTGCTACTGCTCAGCCAACCACGGTCTGTGTAAAGCGACGGCTCCCTATTCAGGTCTAGTTGAATCTGTCTGCGCCTTACCTCTGCCAATACGGTTCACGTGGTGAATGACATGTTGTGAGGACTGACAAAGGAATGTGACGTGTCGAACGTGACCTTCGTCACTGGGGGAGTCGAATTGTATATTAGGGAAGATAAAGACAGTTCTAATATAGTGTAGACGAGCCAAGCCGGACAAATTCATTTCCAAACAGAAATGCGAATCTAGAATGTGTTACTGTTATGTTCAAGTTGTTTGTACACTGGTTGATAATTGTCAGTGACGTGTGTTTGTTTTGTGTGAAGATGCCTGTTATTGGTCCATGGGTGTGAGCCGGCTGGATGTGTTCTACAGAAGACTGCTCCTCAGCAAACTCTTTATCGGGGGTTGGGGCAAACCAGAAGACCTCAAACGGTAGGAAGTTTTTATCATTTCATGTTTGAGCTGCAAGAACATGTCACGTGTTGCGTGGGCGTAAATATCTTTATAACAACCGTTTTTTATCTGTATTTTTGCTCATGTCTGCGTGTTGGTCAAACATTGGGGTCACCAACCTTTTTGAAACTGTGAGCTTCTGTAAGGCTACTTAGTAATTCAAATAGCTACGTGTTTGATACAGACTCCCAGAACAATGTAATCTACAGTAATCTACAAGATTATGGGGTGAAGACCTCAGACGGTAGGAACTGCTCCCTCTGTTTGACACTGTGGGACTCTGCTGGTACTTTTACTACTATACGCTTATACTATTGTATACGCTGCTGCTGTAATGAATGAAATTCCTCAGTGTGGGATGAATAAAGTCTTATCTTATCTTAGTTGACTATTATTCAAGTGTAACTGATTCAAACAGCACAGTAACTGTACCAGTGTTGACCCTCTCATTGACTGGTTTCTTTTTTAGAACATACTCTGCAGGCACCTCTGGTAGTCCACAGGGGGCTACCAGGTGCCTCCTGGTCTAAGATGTAGCTGTACTTGATGGTTTCAACCATCATTTTATTTCAAAGTTTTACAAGAAAGGAAAAAAACAAAACAAAACACACACACAAGGGTTTTCCTGATTCAACTAAATAATCCACGTGACCACCTTAATATATGTCGATAATGCAGCATGTTTTGTCTGTTAAAAGGTAACTAATGTTTATAACAATATTTTCTTAATCACATTATTTATGTGGTTAATGGAGAAAAGGGTGAGATAAAAGCAGGTGTTTCATTGACATATTTCAATAATTGCTGTCGCTGCATTTCCTTTCTTTGTTGTTGAACGCCGAGTGTAATTAAAGTGATAACTGAGGCTGTGGTGGACATGTCTTTTTAAGGATCTTTGAGTTCAGAAAGATCATTGGAGACAGGGACCAGTGTAAGACCCTGGTGTCCCAGGACTATCCAGTCTACATCAACAAGGTAATTCACACATCTCATCACATTTATACACATGACACTTTACATGGTATGTGAGTATTTTCCACCCCTGTGTCCAGACAGAGGAGCACTCTGACTGTCACATCCATGAAGGCTACTTCATCTCTCCTCTGGAGCACTTTGTTCCTGGAATCCTGCCCCCAGAGGCTGTCAAAGCCAGGTGAGCATGACTGTTACAGCAGCTTATCTGATTTTACTGGTCTGACAACAGGATACCAATAATTCATTCATTTTGTAACCTTTACTTGCTTGGTTTTGCAACTTTTGATTAAAACCCTTCCTAATCTCATCATGTTTCTGTGTGTTTGTGTTTTTGCAGATTCCAGTTTTTAGTTCCTAAGCGATGGCAGAAGGACAGACCAGTATGTATTCATTTGGCTGGGACTGGAGACCATGTAAGACATTTGAACTGGTACCTGACATCTTATCTGTTTGTGACGTCATTGAATAGTGTGCGTGTGTGTGTGTGTGTGTGTGTGCAGTTCTTCTGGCGTCGGCGGACCCTGATGGCTCGACCAATGATCAAAGAGGCAGGAATGGCTTCGTTGATCCTGGAGAACCCTTATTATATCCTTTTTTGTTAAATGCCTGCAGTGATGGTTCTTCTGTCTGATATTTGTCTACGCAGCTTCATTGTTTGCTTCATTTGGTGGTTAGTGCGGTGTTTTACACTTTTCTTTGTAATCCAAATTCCTGAAACAGCCATTAAACAGTGAGTATGTACACCACATGGTGTGAGTGCCACCCGGCCTCTGTAGCTTTTTCATGACACACAACATTAACTTTTACGCACATCAGTCACAACATTCATCCTGAATAAAGCCAACACGCCAAAAAACCCCACAATCAGATCTGTTAATCCTTGACTCCAATGTCACATGGCTACCGTAAACCCAAAGACCAACTGTGAGTCAACCTTGTAGCGTGTCGGTCGTCTCAGTAGTTTCTACTGCCACCTGGGTGAACAATGAACGTAGATGATGTGTGTCTGTTCCAGTCGCTCCTGTCTGAAGAACGTGTCCGATCTTTTCGTCATGGGCGGGGCTTTGATCCTGGAGTCAACAGCACTACTGCACTGGCTGAAGAGAGAAGGATATTGGCCACTGGGAATGACTGGCATTTCCATGGGAGGATATGTGAGTATCAACAGAAAAGTGTTCAAATAAATCAAAGTAAACACACGTTCATTTCTCTTAACAACAATAACAAAAGGCGGTAGGTGTGACCTGGGTTTATGTTGACCTTCTTTCTCCATAGTCAGGATGGTGGAAAACTTCATTGGTCAAACTATTAATTATTCACTGCAGACAGTTTTATTTGTCTACCATAAAATGACATTCTTTCACTAGGTTACTTTTCACTAGATTGCTATAAACACCAAAAAGATGATGAAGAAGATTTTTGTGTTCATCAGTGTTGAGTCAGTAAATTGAAACTAGAAGAAGATTTTATTCCATTCTGGGACATTTTTGTTTGTTGGTGCCCTGTAGGATTTTTATAATGTCTGTCATTTTATTTTGACAAGGTCTTGCCGTGTTGTTGTGTGTAGATGGCGTCTCTGGCAGTGACCAACTGGCCCAAGCCTATCCCTTTGATTCCCTGTTTGTCCTGGTCCACTGCCTCCAGTGTCTTCACTACGGTAAAGCACTTTCTGTCTGTGATGGATCACTGACACAGCCAATCATGACTGTGACCTGACCTTTGATGCAACCTCATACTAAGGACTCTGTATCATACTGCTGCTAATTACTATATCGTGGCACTTTGGCCCAGAGGCAATGTCTCTGTCATTGGTGTGGGTTCATCTCCTGGGCAAGTTCAAATCCTGGTTAGGGTGGTTGGTACCTTCCAGTGGACTCACCACCCGCAGGAAGGTTCAGGAGGGGGTTGGTACGGTGCAGTGCGATTTGGGTGGCAACTGCTGCCCCCGCGACCCGATAAGCGTATGAAAATGGATGGATGGATGGACAATTACTATACCTGTGCAATACTGCATCCAGATTTAATGCAATTTAACTATTTGTGCAATACTTTCACATTGATCTTGTAAATTGTTATTGTGTTACTACTTTTAGTTTTTTGTGTAAATATTTTCAGGTTTCTTTTAGGTGTTTAGGTTTATTTTGCCACAAACATTTATTGTGTGTGTGTGTGTGTGTGTGTGTCAGGGTGTTCTCAGTAGAGCAGTGAACTGGGCCCAGCTGGAGCAGCAGTATGCCGTCAACTCTGTGTATGAAGAGGAGATCATTCAGCTGCTGCAGTACTGTGGTGTGAGTCATCACAGTCTGAGATATTCATCCAGTTAATGGACATGGTGTAACTAAGCTAACACACATTGTTGTGTGTCAATGAGCTCGCTTTGACATGAGCAGACCGCTGACACGTTGTGGTGTTTTAATGACCCTGTTCACGTCTCTGTGTCCAAGGCCGACTCCATAAAAATGGGTCCAGAACTAGTTAAGAACATGGACTGTGTGGAACATCTGCTGAGCTTGTCTGGACCTGGCAGAGCTCCAGTGACTCGGTTCTCCTCATCTGAAGCTGACCCTGAGGTGCTGATAGGAGGAGTTGATAAGAAGAGTGGTCCTGGAGACAGAGCGGAACATATATTATCAGCTGTAAAAACCACTGGAACCAAGGTGGAGTCTGTGACCAGGTGAGGAGACGTCTTTGTTCTGATCATGATTCTTAACCATTCAATACAATTATAATGTAATAAGTTGTTTGAATTAAGCATACAGTAATTAAAACAACACTGTTTCTAATCAATTTGGACTCTTTTTTTTAAATTACTTGCTTAATTTTAGATTTCTGCTCCACAATTAAATCATTTGTGTTTCTCTAGCAACTGCTGTGTAAATACTTCTGCACTTGAGAAGAAGAGAGACTTCACCAAGTGCTGTCGACCATCTTTACATCAAGAGTCCATCGGCTTCATGAAGGGAGTGATGGACGAGTGCACACACATGGCCAACTTCTCTGGTACGTTTGGTCTACTGAACACAGATGGAATAAAAACACAGCTGCTGTGTCATTCGATGTCCATCCATCCACCCATCCATCTATCCATCCCTCCATCCATCTATCCACCCACCCACCCATCCATCAAGATGACCAAGAATTTCAGGTCCATACAGAACTGTCTGTGGTGAATCAACAGTACACGTGTGCTGTTCTGTTCTGTTCTAGTTCCAGTCGACACCAGTCTTATCATCGTGGTCCAGGCCAAAGAAGACGCTTACGTCCCTCGTACTGGGGTGCTGAGTTTGCAGGAGATCTGGCCTGGATGTGAAGTTCGATATCTGAAGGGAGGACACATCAGTGCATACCTGTTTAAACAGAGGGTCTTCAGGTGAGCCGTTGAGCCACTGCAGGTGTTATTTTATAAACTTTAACTTTTTCTAAAGTTTATTCTATAAATGATGTCCATCGTTCTGTAATTTCTATACAGAAATTATTTCTATAATTTCTAAAGTTTATATATTCTATAAACTTTAGAAATTGAAAAAAATGTTAGCAAAGAGTATGAATGTCATCATCAGGCTTTACATGTCTTCAGGACTCTGTGACTGTGAGAGACTGACTGTTACTCTGTCTGTGACTGTGACTCTGACTGAGACTCTGACTCTGTTCCAGACAAGCCATATATGATGCATTCAACAGATTCTGCCTGAAATATCCCAACCTACACTAGTCAGAGGCTGGACCAGGACCAGGACCAGGACCGGCCCATCCACAGACCACGGTGGAGGAACTGTAGTGAGCAAGTATTCTGCTGAGACATGAATCACAGGCTGTTGTCAGATGAAGGTTCCTCTTGTTCAACAGGAAAAACTCTGGCTTTCCTATCTCACACACACACACACATACACACACACACACACACTCAGCCAAATGATTGCCTTTCCATTATCAGTAAATTACCAACAGAAAAAGGGAAATGACTGTTAACAAGTTACAAAGGGAAAACTGGAGTTTTCTATGTCAGATATCTTATTCATCAATTCAAAAATGACATCATTTCAAATGTTAATTGGTCTAAAACAGAATGTAACCCCCCACGCCCTCCCCCCGTCCTCAGGCTTGTCCCTCAGCTCAGTCTGGTTGAATATTCTCACTTCAACCTAACTTTATTTTGGTTGTGACCCAGTGAACAGCAACAACTAAATCACAGTTGATCCATCTACAAAGATCACGTTCTCCTTCCTAAAACACTGACTTGTATCAAACAGAGGATGATTTGTGTTCGAGTCACTTCAACTTTGGGAGTCTGTGAACGGCCACTGTCACCAAGCCAAACTTCGCAGTGCCACCTCGCCGGCATGACTTGGACCTGACGGGCTGTAGTCAGGTCTCTGCGGTCTAGTATGGATCACAATCGAAGCCAAGTCCAACCTGGTTTCAGCTTTGATCAGAGTCACATGTGCCTTTTACTCTTGGTGTTCCATGTGTGTAGTGTTCTTTATGAGCAATCAACAGAATACAAGTAGACTCTGGACAGCAGCCCATTTTCTACATTTGAAGTAAAAAATGTCTTTTCAAAGTGATTTTTTTTTGGCTTTCAAAGAAGAACAACATGAAATAAATACAATAATAATTCATTTTAGTGTGGATTTTTACATCTGTGAAATGATAGAATTTTCAAACTAAATATATATATATATATATTTATAAATCTTAACTGTGAATATCACACGTTTTCAGGTAAATAAAATATTTATCAGATTATTTAATACTAATTTTTTTAATTAGCCACTGATGCTAATCAAACTAATTACTACGTATATTTGAAATTAGTTTCGTGCACTGGACAAAAAGCTCCACGATTCCGTTCACGCTTTTTGAAAATAAATTCCACCTCTCTCCGTTAGGGGGTGCTAGGAACACGTATTTTCTGCGCGGATGTTTCTATTCAACAAGCGTTTGAAAAGGGCAAGAAGTTCACCAGAAAATGCAAATGTCAAGGCAATAAATAACGAAATCAGAGTTTATCAGAGTCAGAAATGCAGTTTTGTTTTGTTTTGTTTTTAATTTTTTTTTCTCAGGTCAATGTAAACAAAAGTCTATGCAGATCATAATGTCTTAAATTGAAAATAGAATAATCAATTATTGAAAATAGAAATATTGCATGTGCCTAGTTTGGACCCAGATGTTTAGGTTCTGTCCCCTTAAAGATTTGAGATTAGCTACGGTGTGTGTGTGTGTGAAGACTAAGAGGCAGTGGGCGTGGCTAATTCTTCTGACAACACTGCACTCTCACTTTGCTCTGCGCTGGCGCCATCTGTACACTGGCCACACTGTTGGTGGAGAACACGTGGTTCTGCTGACAGTCTGTGGTCTCCTTATGGGATATGATTTGGTAGATCTGACTCAGAACTGTCTGGAAAGCCCTTTCCACGTTAGTGGAGTCCAGTGCTGAAGTCTCCAGGAAAAATAAGCCATTTTTCTGGGCGAAAGCACTGGCCTCCTCTGTGGACACAGCACGGAGGTGTCGCAGGTCACTCTTGTTGCCCACCAACATAACCACAATGTTGCTGTTGGTGTTTTTCCTCAGCTCCTTCAGCCAGTGCTCCACATTCTCATAGGTGAGACATTTTGCGATATCATAGACCAGCAGAGCACCGAGCGCCCCACGATAATAAACCGAAGTGATGGCCCGGTAGCACTCCTGCCCGGCCGTGTCCCACACCTGGGCCTTCACTATCTTGCCGTCCACCTGCATGCAGCGTGTAGCAAACTCCACTCCAATGGTACCTTTACTCTCCAGGTTGAACTCGTTGCGGGTGAATCGGGATAACAGGTTACTTTTCCCTGTCCCAGAATCTCCAATGAGGACGACTTTAAACAGATAGTCGTAGTCTTCAGCTCTGGTGACCATGGTTCAACTGAAATTCTCCTAATCGCTGCTAATATCGACTATTTTTACCACTGCACTAGGGTAACTTTGTTTGATACTTCAAAGGATAAACATTTTATTCATGATCAAAGACTTATCTGCTGAGGTGCTGTCCTGTCACAACCCTGGGACTAGAGATGCACTGGATTGGTTCAGTGTCATGTGACCACACTACTGTGACAAATTCAATATCCTATCAAAATAGGATGATGTTGCCAGACCCCCCATCACCACTGGCTCAGCAGCCTGACAGAGAATGTCAGGATGGATCATCATTTGATATTAATGCTCTTATTTAGCATTTAATGAAAGTTGAGGAACTCGTTATTGTCTTATTCCTGAACAATTATTTTCACACAATGTTCAAATCCTTTGAACCATT